CAGGGATGCGAAGATTGGCGTTGACATGCTCGCGCTGCAGCATGCTGGCTGTCCCGGGGCAAGAGCGCGCCTGGCGCCAGCGGTCAGGGCGCGCATCTTCCTGCGCGGAGGCTGTGATCTCCCAGCGTGGCCCCCGTGCCACGCGCGCCCATGCGCCGCGCATGGCAGCGCCCACCGATGCGGAGCCTTGCCAGCAGCAGCATGTGCAGCAGCATCAGCAGCAGCAGCAGCTGCCGCAGCAGGGGCATTAGCAGCACCAGACGCTGCTGCAACCGCCGGCGCCACTGTCGGCGTTGCCAGCCCCAGTCCCTACGGCGCCACCGCCGCAGCCACCGACGCCAGCCACGATGAGCGCAGCTACGATGCCATCGACAATCCAGTGTCAGGCTCCAGCAGCCCTTTCTCAATGGCCATCGGCGTCAATTCCGCTCGAGGCTGCGATCTCGGGCATCGCGGTGAAGGCGCCGACGCTGGCCGAGGCAACTGACAGGATCAAGCAGAAGCTGCAGGCCAAGAGTGCACCTGCAGCCGATGCCGAGCAGGAGCCCGAAGACGCTGGGGACGAGGTGGGCCCCTTCCAAGAAGAGGCCAGCAAGCGCCGCTCTGAAGAACATGAGCGAGGTGGCGAAGAAGCCAGCGGCTGCTCGCGTCACAGTTATCTGGGGGAGACCGCTCCCGTGCCCTCGCGTCGGGTCACCTGCAACGCCCCGCGAAGGTGCGAGGATCTACGTGTCCGACCCGCAGAAGTGCTTCAGGGTGATCCGTGATACCGCGAAGGGCGCCAGCGAGGTTAAAGTGCCATTCTGCGGCGACAAGCCTACCGAGGCGAGGTGATTGTTCGCGCTGCAGAAGGTCGACGAGTGCAAGCAGCGCCGTGCACTGCGCGAGGCCGTGGTCCGAGCTCGGCATGAGGGGCCACCGAAAGCGGCGGGGGAGTTGCAAAAAAACACATCGTCACATCATCATCACCTCCTCGTCCTCCTCCTTCTTCCCCCCCTCCCCCCTCCCTCCTCCTTCCTCCTCCTCCCTCCTCCTCCCTCCTCCTCTTTCCTCCTCCTCCCTCCTCCTCTTCCCTCCCCCTCCTCCTCCCTCCATCTCCTCCTCTCCCTCCTCCTCTTCCTGTTGCGCCCTGCTGCAGCTGTTGCTGCTGCTGATATTCCTCCCCCTCCTCAAGCTACTTTCGCTCAATGCTGTATTTCCCAATCTAGATTTCTCAGGTGTCAGTGTATGCTACTTTATACTACCGTATGCTATTTTCCGTGCGTCATGCTATCTCACGATAACTTCTAGTAGCCTTATTACAATACCACGAAGCGTGCCACTATGGTATAATTATACATGTCATGGCACATTGTAAAGTGTGATAGGCTCAGCTGGAACAGTAACCAGGTTGCGCGCCTACAACTAGGTTGTGGCAGCGTTACACCCACATAAACACATACGTACATATACGCATATTAATATATGTATATATATATATGTGTGTAGAACAATACGTGTTGATTCTAACATGGCGCCAATTAAAAACATGGTAGAAGCACGCATCGCAAGATCTGCGCGCTCTCCGTGGCCAAGCAGCGAGGTGGATTCCCTCCGAGGCCAACCCCGCAGACGCGCTCAGCCGCGGGCGCGCCGGCAGGTTCTCCGGCGGTCGGCCGGCGCCGCAGCCCCCTGGAGGCGGGCTGCTCGCCCGCGCGGCCGCTCGCGCCGGGGCTGGCGCTGGCCCGGGCCGCGGCGGCGGCTCGCCGCTTGTCCGCCCCGACGCCGTCGCCGGCCCGCGCCGAGCGAGCGAGCCATGCGCGGGCGCTCGCGGCGGAGACGACGACCGCGGTGGCGGGTCTGTCGCCGCTGGAGCGGCTGGCTGCGAGGAGCTCGACGGTTCGCCTCTACCGCGGGGCTCTCACCAGCTTCGTCGAGTTCTGCGTCGGTCGCCGCCTGGATTGGGCGACCCGTTCAGGCCTGGACACGGCGCTGGTGCAGCACATGGACATCGAGTTCCTCCTCGGCGGCGGCGGCAACCAGGGGGGCGTTCCCCTGGCGGCGGTGGCGCGCTTCCTCGGCTCGGTCCACGAGCGGACTTCGCTGCTGCTGCCGAGGGCCCACCGCGCTGCAGCGGCGTGGGCGCGGCGCGCGCCTGCGCGTGCCGGGCTGCCGTTGCCGCGCCGCGCGGCGTTTGCCTGGGCCGGCCTCCTGATTCACGACGGGCCCCCCATGCTGGCCACCTGCATCCTCGTCACGTTCGCCTCGTACCTCGGGCCTGGGGGGCGGCGAGGCTGCGCGGGCGCCGCCTGATTCCGCCATCGGAGGCGGCGGGCGCCTGCTACCAGTTCTTCGGGCTGCGCGAGAGTTGGCAGGAGCCGTCGGCAGTCTATGGGTCGGCGTCGCCAGCACTTGCGCAGCCTGCGCCGCGGGGGGGCCTCGGACAACATGCGCTCTCAGAGGCGCCAGCTGGCCGAGATACAGCGTCGCAGACGCTGGTGGACGGCCGCAAGCCTCAACTGCTACGCCAAGGAGACCAAGCTCCTGGACGAGCTCGCTTATATCCCGCCCGAGGCGATGGGGCTCGGGGCCTTCGTCGAGAGCAACCTGGAGGGACTGGTCTGCAGCTGCCTGCCCGGCTGGCTAGCGACTGGCTGGGCCCTGGCCGCGGCGGTGCTGCTCCTCCGCCCGCTGCCTCATGACGGGCAGCTGGCCGCCAGAGGTCGCCGGCGCAGGCGGCCCGCGGCCCTGGCGACGGCAGGGGCAGCCCGCCGGCGGACGCGGCGAACCGGCACCTGCAGCGCCAGCATCGGCGCGCTGCCGCGCCATTCTGCGGCGCCGGCAGGGTTGCCGAGGCGCTGCTCGCCCGCGGCGTCGCCGCATTCGGGCTCGACTAGCAGCGCGGCCCGCTGGGGGGCCACGCGCGGCCAGCCTTCGTCGCCCCCATCATCGGCTGGGCCCGGCCGCGAGCGGCGGGGGCCATCTGGCCAGGCATCCCTTGCGCCAGCTGGGCGCGAGCGTTGCGGCGCCCGCTCAGGTCTGATCGCCATCCGTTCGGACTGCCCGACCTGTCGGCCTCTGAGCAGGCCCGCGCTGCCGCCGGCAACGCCGCCCTGCGCATGACGGTCGCGATAATTCGTGGGTGCATTGCTGCCCGCGCCCCAGTCTTTCTTTAGCTGCCGCAGACCTCGAAGATTTGGTCCCACGCTCCCCTCGCTCGTCTCTGTCGCAGGCCCTCCTGCCAGAAGTCTGCATTGCATCAGTGTCAGTACGGCTCCGAATTCAAGAAAGCCAGAACTGCCATGTCCTGGGGCGCCGGCCCCATGCGCCCGCTACAGAAAGCGCGCGCAGGGAAAAGAGGCATTTGCAGTCGCTCCGGCAGTCGTCACGTGATTTTGGAGGGCAACGATGAGCAAGGGTGACAGCGCACTGCCGTCGCCGCCAAGTACCCTCGCCTCCTTGCCAAGGCTGCTTCGCGCCGCATAGTCGAAGCTTTGGACATTCAGCCCGGCCTCGCTCTCCAGTCATTGGCCCTGAGATAAGCGACAGATGCCTCTCACTATCAATATTTGCACGGCCTGCGGCCAGATGTACGTTCGGGATCGGGCGAGGGCCACACAGGCGGTTCTCAGGAACACCGATGCGTTCCAAGTAATTATTGCCTCTGCTGCTCTCGCGCGTCTGGCTCCAGTCAATGTCTGGCCCTGTGTTGTCCCAGACAAAAAGGAGCCAGCCCCGGGAGCCGAACTGAGGCAAGAGGTTGGACGTACTCATAGTATGCTCGAATTTTTTCCCATTGCCATCCCGACACGCGTCCTCGCCACATACATATTCCAGGGTGAGGGCCACGCACGTGGTTCTCAGGAGCACTGGTGCGCTCCACGTCTTGTCTCTGCAGCCCTCGCGCTTCTGGCTCCGGTCGATGCCTGGCCCTGTGTTGTCCCAGACAAAAAAAAGAGCTTGGCCTGGGAACCGAAGAGTGTTATATTTATGTATATATAAATATAAATCTACAAAACGGGGATCTTGTTCGTGGCCGAAGTTTGCCGTCCAGAGAATATGTATTGACGGCCGCTGTGTGGTAAAACTCTCAGTACGAGTTGCACAAACACACATATATATATACACATACGTTGACATAGAGAGATGCACATGTATGATTTGCAGCAAAGGTTTTGCATACTATATGTTGAGGAGGCCGCGCGCGGCCATTCTTCTGCGTTGGAACTCAATTATTACACCGTGAATTGGGATGCGTAGGTGTAAGTATATGTTTCGAGTGGCTTTGCTGTAGCTTCAAATTGTCGTTACATCGTTTGTTTTTTTCTGGTTTTGTGATAGGGCGGGCTGGAGTTTCAGGAGGAGGAAGAGGACGCGTGTCCGACGGAACGTGCGCAGTGTTCCGGTGAAGCCATTCGTTCTCTAAAATCGGCATCTCCGTTGTTTTATGACATGTATTGATCAAGATGGGGCCGTGTGGAGACGCCAGCGCCGCTCGCTTGCGTTAAGTTCTCATGGTGCCACCTCGTTTCCGCATTGTCCGCTGGTTCTTTCTCCCAGATAACATTCGACATTCCGAAACCCAAAGTGACATGATGCATGGCCTGGGCAATATGTCCGGTTGGTCTTCTCAGTGCCTTTTTTACTGCTTAAGTATCGCACCAGCGGCATGTAGCAGGGATGTTCTCTGAGAGCAGCCTTCTGGTTTCTGAGGTGATCGCAGTTGGCAGAAGGTTTGCTAAGCGGGTTTGGTATCAGTCGTCGCGCACGGAAGCGAAATTACGAACAGCCACGTACACGTGCCCGCATCGCCGCACATGTTTTTGAAGTGAGCATCGTCACCATGCATGTACATGTGCAACATTTGTTGGTACGCGCTCGAAAGCATGTACTGCAATACAGAACGTTTGTGTACACTTGGCCCTCGCGTTACGTCGCGAAATGCGCTGCACGGGCACCTGTGTCTGTAGGGGGACAGTGTTGCCCATGGTTCGTGCACGCATCCGCGTCCGCGACCCCAGTCGCCAAGATCAGGACAAGAAGAGGAGGCAAGCGGACCCAGGGCAGACGTGTTTTGAGTTGTTGCGGGCGATCCGTTCGCATATGTGTTGTCAGGCATATCCCCACATGAATCCCTTCACGCACGTTGACATCTTGTCGACACTAGTTGCTATCATGTGTGCCATGGGCTTGCGCCGCATGCTGTATGTATATCATTGCTGCCCGCGCTGACTGCTGAAGCCCTTGCACTGCAGCTCGGTGAGTATCCAGGTGCCTGTGGCAAATCCGCCACTGTGCCAGCCAAGCAATCTGTGTGGCGACGCTTCGCGTACCGCCCACAAGGCCGTCACATGTGACACTTTCTCGTAGTCGCTTATTGAGGCGCTTTACTGGTGGGCTAGCTTGGGGCTGTCCTGGCCTACTGTGAGGCGGGATTGGGGGTCACTGGAGCTCTCTTGGGCAGTCTTGGGGCCAACTTGGGTCGTCTTGGTGCACTGGTGAGCCGTTTTGGCGCTGTCTTGGCCGTCTCGGAGGCTTTTGTGGCAGTGGTGGTGCCGCCGTCTTGGGACCTTCTTGGGCAGTTTCGGGTCCCTCTTGAACCGTGCCTTCGAAGACCGCATGAGAACCGATCTTCGACCAAACAGCGTGGACAGCCAACAACATGGACAACAACACTATGACATGAATGCTTGTTGCCTCTCGACGGGTTCCTTGACGGTCTTGGGGCCTGTCGGGGGCATTTTGGGACCTATTGGGCGCTTCTTAGCAGTTGTTGGGTGCTTTTTGGCGATGTGGGGCCATCTTGGCCGCTTTGGTGGTCTTCCTGAACCATCGTGGAAGCCGTGGAGTGAAGTGCCTTTGAGAGCCTCGAGGAGGCGTCGGGTCACCAAGGACGCCTCGGGAGTGGCCGTGGCGGTGCACGCAGCTGGGCATGAGGAGACTTGGTATCGCTCGGACGTGTGCACTTTTTCTAGGCGGGGATTATTAAGGAGCATCCTGGATCACCCTGCGAAAACCACGCACGACACCGAACAACACACAGGGAATGGACGTCCGAGCGATGGCCAGGAGAGGGGGGGGAGGGCTGACGTATCGTAGCACGGTATGCAGGACACGAGGCAATCATCATGTGATATTCTACCACGCCTGTGTGCCTGGGGGCACGGCGGCGGATCATCTTGCCCGGTATTGGTTAAGTGGGCGATTCGTGTTCACAGTGTTTTGTCCCTAATTTCATTTGTGACGCGTAGCATGGCGTTTTTGACAGCAGAGGCGCATGCCCGTCGACATCACCATTTTTGATAGGGCTGCTTGATATGAGTGGTCGGATGGTACCGTATCCCATATTTAGTTCCAGTTTCTCCGTCCAGAGTCCTGACCGCCAGTACGTTGGTCTGGCTTGGTAGCGGAACAACGTAAGCTTATGATATCCAATTATTTGCGGCAAGCCCCGCCACCGTGGCAGCGCAGCAGGGCAGCGTGAAGGTATTTGAGTTCAAGACCCCACGGTAGTTCGGCGCGAGGTCTGAACTCGAGTGGGTCGTAACATCGGTGCATTTCCCTCTGTCTTAGGGCCATCGTGGAGCAACAACTTTGGCTGTCTTGAAGTGTTCTCGAGTAGTCTTGGGGCCTTTGGGCTTCTTGAGGCTCTCTGAAGTGTTTCCCCGATGCGATCTGAAGAAGGCACCGGTAGCACAAACCATTGACTTCTCTGTGCTTTGGATTGGTTTTCACCTCTTCGGGCCTCGCTGGAGGTCTCTTGGAGGCTTCTTTGGGCATCTTGGGGAGATCTTGTAGTCGCTGGGGGCTTGCCGCACCTCCTCTTCCCTCCTCCCTTTGCTTCCTTCACACGCTCCTCCTCCTCCTGATCAGTATCCTCCTCCTCTCAATTGCCCCCCTCCCTTTACTCGGCTTGTTCGTCGTCCGTCGCCTTCCCACCTTGTGTCGTCTGAAGGCTGCGGTCTGTTCTCCCCGGCCACAGGCCCACCGGGCTGTTTAGAGTGCGAAGCCCCCCCCTGGAAGAACCTGAGGCCCGAGCTGCTCCTGTCTTTGCAGTCGGGTGGGGTATCATCTCCGATGGGTTCTTCCACATCTGCACGTCGTGATTTCTTCATGACCTTACCCCCAGCGGTCTGGACTCCCCTTCCCCGGGACCGGTTTTTCTCATCCTGAGCCGTCGTTTGACGGTCCCGAGGCCCGGTGAGGGCCCCCAGCGGCCGCACATTGAGAACAGCAGTCCGCAGTGCTTTTCTCATGACTCGCGGGGGTCTGGGGCTCCTGGCTTTCAGTCGGGCCCGTCCCTCTACAGGGGGAGTGTTCAAACATAGTCAACAGAAATAGTCTGGGGACTGTTTGTTGTGTCTTTTCTTATTATTATTTGGAGCATTTGGGAGTATCTTTGGGGTATTTCATATTGTTCGTCCAAAATTTTGCACGAACGAAATGGGTACGGAAAGAATGGGCACAATGCCAGACAGCAGTTCCTGTTCATTTTGAACAGGACTCGCTGTCCGCGCGGCCGCGGCCTGTGTTCATTCGAGACAGAAGGCCGCCTGCCCAACAGCGGCCGCTGTTGGCTCGGGACAACATTTGCTGTTGGGCCTTGTGCCCACTGTTTCCGTACCCATTTCGGGCGTCCAAAAAGATGCCCTTCTAGGGTCTAGGCCTCCCACATGGGTTCGGAGTAGATGGGGTCGGAGGATCGCGCCGCATCGCCGATGCATCGCCGATGCGGCTCGGTGTGGAGCCCGATTTGCTTCACGTCGGCGTCGCCGATACATCGCCCGCGTCGACAATGCATCGCAGGTGCATCGCCGATGCATCGGCGATGCATCGCCGATGCATCGGCGATGCGGTGCGACCCTCCGACCCCATCTACTCCGACCCCATCTAGGAGGCCTCTATAGGGGGACACGCCCGACCTCAGGCTCCTGGCTGTCGGCGGCCCGCTCGCGTGCCGCCTGCCCGCCCGGGCACGCGCAGGGGCGGCAGCCGCAGCCGCGGCAGGGGCAGCCCGCGACGGAACCGGAGCAGGACGCGGCCGCGGCAGCGCCGCGGGGCGGCGAGGAGGGAGGTTCCGCCTCCTCCTGCTGCTGCTGCTGCTCCTCCTCCTCCTCCTCCTCCTCCTCCTGCTCGTCCTCCTCCTCCTCCTCTCCTCCTCCTCTTCCTCCTCCTGCTCCTCCTCCCTCTCCTCCTCCTCCTCTTCTCTCTCCTCCTCCTCCTCCTCCTCCTCCTCCTCGTTCTCCTGCTCCTCCCTCCTCCTCCTCCTCCTCCTCCTCCTCCTCCTCTCTCTCTCTCGTTCCTCCTCCTCCTCCTCTCCTCCTCCTCCTCCTCCTCCTCCTCCTCTCCTCCTCCTCCTCCTCCTCCTCCTCCTCCTCCTCCCTCGGGTCGTGGAGGGGGGAGAAGGAGGGGGAGGGGGGGGAGAAAAGCAGAGCGCGAGGCCGACGGCGAAGGTTCGCTCCGCCGAGCCGCGCGGCCGCGGCCGCGCGCCGACAGGGGCCCTGAGCCTCCAGCGGCGTACCCGGGCCCCTGACCACGGGGGCCCTGACGAGGCAGGACCCCCGACTACTCGATACACGACGATCCTAACCATGCCGACGTGCCACACCAAGTGCAGGAGGGGGGGAGGGAGGGCCACCCATGCACGCGAAACGGCGAGGCGGTTTCACCCCGCCCACGCTTACCCCTTCCTGCTCCAGAGGCCCCCAACGCCGCCAAGGCCGCCTCGAGCTGCGCGACGGGCGCCGTCGCCAGGAGATGGCGGTCGAGCCCGAGGCGCGGCTCCGACAGCTGCTCGATCAGCGCCTTTCTCCGCCCACGCCTCGGCGGCGGGCGAACGGCGGGCGGCTCGGCCGACTGCCCCGAAGCAGCCGACCGGGGCGCGCGGAGCGGCCGAGACCACCACGGGCGCGGCTTCTGCCCAGCTGTCGTCGGCGAGCTCCACGTCGCCGTCCTCCGCCACCTCCTCCTCCTCCAGCGCCAGAGGCTCCTCTGCGGCCCCAGTCCTGCCGCGCCGCGCGCGGCGGCGGCGCCTCCGCCTAGGCGCGGGGCCCGCGCCATCAGGCGGCACGGCCGCTGCGGGCGCAGCAGGCGGCACCGCAGGGCCGCCACCAGCCATGGCGAGGGGCGGGCGAGCGCCGCGCGGCCTCGAGCGCCGCCACCGCCGCGAGGCAAAGGCCGTCGGCGTCGCGCAGCAGGCGGCGCGCTGCCGCCGCGCCCCGCGCAAGGCCCGCAGCCGAGTGCGCCGCAAGCGCCGCCCCGCGGGCGGCAGCCAGGGCGCTGCGCAGCTGGCGCTGCTGCGTCGCCATCGGTTCCAGGCACTCGCGGCGTGCGGCCCAGCGTCGGCGCGTGTGAGAATGGTGCGATGGCTGGAGAAGGAGGAGGAGGAGGAGGAGGAGGACGAGGAGGAGGAGGAGGAGGAAGAGGAGGAGGAGGGGGAGGAGGAGGAGGAGGAGGAGGAGGGAGGAGAAGGAGGCGGAGGAGGCGGAGGAGGAGGAGGAGGAGGAGGAGGAGGATAAGAGGAGGAGGAGGATAAGATGAGGAGGAGGAGGAGGAGGAGGAGGAGGAGGGAGAAGGAGGAGTAGGAGGAGGAGGAGACGGGGGATGAGGAGGAGGCGGAGAAGGAGGCGGAGGAGGAGGAGCGGAGGAGGAGGAGAGGAGGAGGAGGAGGAGGAGGGAGGAGGAGAGGAGGAGGAGACGGAGACGGGGAGGAGGAGGAGGAGGAGGAGGAGACGGAGACGGGGGAGGAGGAGGAGAGGAGGAGAGAGGAGGAGGAGGAGGAGAGGAGGAGGAGGAGGAGGAGAGGAGGAGGAGGAGGAGGAAGAAGAGAGAGGGGGAGGAGGAGGAGGAGGAGGAGGAGGAGGAGGAGGAGGAGGTGGAGGAGGAGGAGGAGGAGGTGGTGGAGGAGGCGGGCAGGAGGGGAAAGTGAATGACGGTGGAGAGCGAAGGAGGCGGAGGTGGGTTGGAGCACTTGACTGTGAAGATTGAGGAGGAGGAGGAGGAGGAGGAGGAGGAGGGGGATAATGGCGAACGCAGCGGAACGGAACTGTCGACATGCAGCCAGCAATGCAGAAATGACACTTGACAGCAGGCCTGCTCAAGGGTGTGTGTGTGTGTTGTGTGCGTGTGGCCCAGTGTGTGTGTGTGTGTGTGTGTTGTGTGTGTGTGCCCCAGACAACGGGCGAGGATGAAGGGGCGAAGAATGAAGAAACGGAAGTGGACGGGGACGCTGGGGCGTTGGACGGCGGCGGCGCGGGGACACCGCGTCTTCTCCCGGCGGCGCCAATTGTTTGCCTCTGGGCTTGCTTCTAGTTTCTGCCATCGCGGTACCGCTGGTGCACCTCCGTGACGCTGCGGAGGCGCGGCGTCTTGGGGTCAGCGAGCGCGACCGCCTCGGCAACGCCGCAGCCGACGGCAACGCTGGCGCCGAAGCCGCGCAGCGGGCCCTGCCGAGCGACGCGGTGCGCGCCCGCCGCAGGGAATTGGAGCTGCTGGAAGCGGGGCAGCGGGTGCAAGCGGCTGCCCAGCAAGCAGCCCTGGCTGCGGCGCCTGCCCCCCAGCGCCGCCGCCGGCGTGTCTGGCGCGCAGTCCGGCGAGGGGCCCGCGCTCGCGCGGCGTCCGCGCCGAGCCCCGCCGCCGCCGGCCACGCGCCCGCGGCCCCGCCTGTAGCACGGCCACGCCGGGGCGCCAGTGCCGAGCCCGTCAGCGCAGGCGCCATGCTTGTCGAGTTCTTTGCGGGCCGCTCATGGTGGCCTCACTCCCTCGTGCAGGGGCCGGGGCAGGTCCGCTGCCTGCGCTGCGGCGGCAGCGCGGAAACCTCGGAGGCGATGCTGGCCACTGCTTGTCCGGGCTGGCGAGAGCGCCTGCCGGCGCGCGGGCAGGCGTTGCTGCTCCTGGGAGGCCTGCGCTGCGCTGGCGGCAGCACGGCTGAATTCGCAGGGCTGGCTGCGGGCCGCATCGCGCAGCTCCCCAAGGTGCCGGACTAGCGGGCTCCGCGCCGGGCGCCGGCGATCGCGCCTGCCGCCCGTACTGCCCGTCAAAAAAAACACCTCCGTGACGCTGCATCACTTGTTGAGTGCCAATTTCGTTTAGGACCACTTGGAGTTCGGGCGTCCGCTTCACCATTCTTCCGAGTGCGAGCCAGGCGATCAGAATGGCAATAGCAAGACTAAACTCTCCAGCTTCAAGAGGAAAAGAAACACACAGACACAATTAATCGTCGATCCCCCAGACCCTATGGGAAAATATGGGAAGTGGGGGAAGAAGACAAAAACCCAGAAGATACGGGGAAATATGGGGAATCCTGTGATCTGTGTGTATTTATTTGTGTGTCCCAGGGCCCCTTCACAGTTCTCGGCCAGCTGGCCCGTGGGCTCCGCGCCGCCACCTGCCGCGGACTGCCCGCCCTCTCCGCCGCCCCCTGCCGCCTCGACGGGCGCCGCGCCCTGGCCTGCTGCCTCCCCCCTGGCGGTGCGCCGACGCCGCCGGCTCCCGCCGGTGGCCTCGCGCGTGGACTCCGATCAGATAAGCGCTGCAGGACCCCATGGTCTTGCAGATCGGGGTCCCCAATCTTTAGGGGAACAAGAAGTGGCATGAACATAAAAACTCGGAGGTCCGCGCGGATTTCTCGGATCGGCGCTGGGGCCCCCCGGCGGCGCCTCCGGCGCCGCCCCTGGCGCGCTCCGCGCGCCAGGGAGGGGGGTCCAGCGCCGATCCGAGAAGTCCGCGCGGACTTCCGAGTTTTTTTGCTCATGCCACTTCTTGTTCCCCAAATCTTGCTCAGCCGCAGACCGACATGCCAGACGTGCTCTCAGATCTGCCAGTCCACCTTGCTCCAGCACGGCCGTCACAGACTTTGCCGTTCACGCCTGCAGGTCTCCTGACTCTGTCACGGTTGAGGACTCCCTGGGCTTTGCAATGGACGTCGTCTATGCTCCTACGCTAGCCGCTTCAAGGCTTCCGACTCCACCGACCTTTACAGGAGCCTTTTGAGCAGGAGGCACACCGACCGACGATGCACAACCCATTCGCTCAGCCTCTCAGCCCGACCCCTCTGAGATTGTTTTCGGCGCTCCCCGCGCCTCCGTCGGTCGCACGAGCACCGCCCTGCGGCCCGGCCACGGAGTCTTCCCCAGCAGCAGTTCCATCGATCCGTCCGACCTCGGCCCACTGCGGCGCGGCGCCGAGCGTCCCGTCGCGAGCCCCCAGGGCTGCGGCGAGACTGCGCAGCACCGGCGCCACCGCGACGCGAACGGGAAGATGGTGGACAGCAAATGTCGCGCCGAGGCACTGACCGCTCATCCCGAGGAACAGTGCCAATTTCCCGTTCGCAATAAGCTAATCGAGGTCGCGGAGGGGCGATCCGCCATGAAGAGCATCGGCGCCGGCAAATCGGTTGGCTTCGCAGCTTTGCTGCACGAATGCTGGCAAGCTGCCACAGGAAGGCGCAACCTCTCTAGACGCTCGAGTGGATCACGAACTTTCTCATTTCAGGACACCATCTGGAAACAAAGACAGTTTTGCTTCAGGCTCACGGTACGGGACCGCACATACGGTTCCTCCAGTGGAGAAACGAGGACATAACGGTCTTGTTGTTTGCGCTGGACCGGGCACAGGCGTTCGATTCAGATTCGCCGCAGCCGCTGGCAAAGTTGTTGCGCATATTCGTCTGCTCGGACCAGTTCGGCCAATCAATTGCAGCGACCTGCGAGGGGCGCAGCTTCCTCGGTGTCTACTCTGGTGCCGACTCCGGTGGGCACGCCCAGGACTATAGCATACACAAGGATTACACATTGGTCATTTCTAATTATTCGAGAGTTCTTTGATTTTTGGGGTGCCAAGATCCTTTCATTTCTATTTGTTCTATCCCGGGCCTCTTCCTGGCCACTAGGGGGCCAGGAACAATTAGAAACGAGCACCATTATAAATGAGCACGATTAGAAATGAACGACGTGTACCTTACTGCTCTGTCCGTCTCGCCATGGTGATGACGAGTCTTCCTGATGCTGCCCATCGTCTGGTGGGACATCGCATCCCGGAAGGACGGCGGGAGACACCGCATGCAAGAACGGCGCGTTGTTCGAGGACAGCCGCCAGACAATCATCGAGGGACCCCTGCGCTGCATCAAGAGATGCTGCTGGAATTACGGCCCGCGTGTTTGCAACATTGAACCATTTGGTGTCGTGCCGTCTCTGACTGTGTTACTGAAGGCGGTTGTTTGAGCCAAGTAGCTTGTTGAGGCGTTGTCTGGTATGACGCGCACGGTTTGCCGATCGCTGGTCGCAATGGATTTACAACGCAATGATAAGACTTCGGCCGACCGGCTGGGCTTGTTGGGGATGGTCCTCGTACGCTTGCGCATGTGAACTAGTTGTTATGTTGGATTGCAGCGCTGGTTTGTAGTATAGTTTCTGCTTGACATTCACTCGGAAAGTGGATAACACTGGGACAATTGTCTATTGACTAGTTTGGACCGCGCGCAACTGCGGTGAACTCAACTTAGTCGACCAGCTGATTGGGCCACAAACACAAATTGCGTATACATGATGCTTGTGTTGTCTCCATCTTGACTATCGTTTCCACGATGTCCCAGCAGCACTGGGCATTTCCCAGGCAAGGTGGCGTCGCAGAACCCTGAGGGTGTCTCGTGTTCACACGCCACCCTTCTCCACATTGCAGGCCACAGGACGTGCAGCGAATGCATGCTGCAACACCCAAGCTGGCCCAGGTCAGTCACCCTGCGCCCAGATTCCGACTCAGTTCGGTGCTCCATTATTCACCAACCACCAAACCACCCCAACCCAGCCCGAAGGCTCAGATTTACCATCGATTTCTAGTGGGGTGGGGGGTCGGGAAACATCGAAAAACCACGTGTGGAACCCTTACCCCCCGACCCGAAATTCGGGTCTCCGGGATGGGCTGGGGTGGTCTGGCAGGCAGTCAACTATCGGACTTGAGAGCGTGTCCTCCTCGACCCCCCCAGGCAAGCGGCCCTCGAAAGGCATCTGCCAGGGGGCGGCGGGGGAGGAGGAGGAGGAGGAGGAGGAGAAGGAGGAGGAGGAGGAGGAGAAGGAGGAGGAGGAGGGGGAGGAGGAGGAGGGGGAGGAGGAGGAGGAGGAGGAGGAGGAGGAGTCGCCGAGAGGGCGGAGCAGCTCGCGCTCGTGACCCCACGGCGTGCGCTCGTGGCAGGCCGCCCTGCGCGCGAGCCGCCTGCCGTCCGGCGCATTGGCGCCTGGATCTGCACTGGTGCGCTCTTGCTGGAGGCCCTCCCCGGGAGAGGCGCGCGGGCTCCTTCGGCTTCTCCGCTCGCTCCCTTGACTTCTCGAGGAGGAGGAGTAGGAGTAGGAGGAAGAGGAGGAGGAGGAGGAGGAAGAGGAGGAGGAGAAGGAGGAGGAAGAGGAGGAGGAGTAGGAGTAGGAGGAAGAGGAGGAGGAGAGGAGGAGGAGGAGGAGGAGGAGGAGGAGGAGGAGGCAGCTGGTGCATCTGCCGCGCGCTCCGCGCCCGCAGGGGATGCGCCGCCGCCTCGCCTCCGGCCTCTGCTCCCGGCGCGGCGGCGCTTGGCATCCCGCCGCTCTTCCCGTGGGCCCCTTGGGGGGGCGCTCACAGTGCCGCGGGGCCTCGCACCCCGCCAGGCCCCCAGGTGGCGCGGACCGAAGGGCGTTGCCAGCCTCCGCGCCGCATGCGCGACGGCGGTGCGAGGGGGTTCGCGCGCCCGAAGTTTCCCCGCCCCCGCCCTTAGGGAGGCGCGCCGACGTCGCACCCGCAGACGACGGCGACGTCCAGCTCCACTGCATGGGGACCGCCGCTTCCTCCGTCGCCACAAGGTGGACGGGCTCATCCGATCCGTCGGTTCCCTCCTCCCCTTCTCGCTCTGTCTCTGCCCCGTCTTCCCGTTCCCCGCTACCCTCTCCTCTTCTTTCGATTCTGAGTGAGATGCATTCCTTCCCCAATCCAGTTTCGCGCGGTTGCGTGTGAGTAGTTTTTGCTCTGAGAGCCACCGTGGATGCCGCCGCACCCTCCACCCGCGGTGGCTCCCACCTGGTTAGTTCGCGTCAGTTAGGCTCCAAAGGGATGCCCGTAGAGTATTTGCCGCGTGGGCTTTCGAAGTTAACGCCTGCCGTGAGTGAGCTTCCCAGACCGCTATCGCATATTGCACATGTCGAACAACAGAAATCCAGTCTCGCGCGGCGCAGATCTGGCGTAAAGAAATTTGGCACCATGTGCCCAGGTGCACTACGAAGCCGTGCGCGTGGGTTGTGATCCGCTGCGAAGGAGGCCCAGGTAGCAGAGGCCCATGCACCTGGTCCCCCTCCTCACCCTGGTGGCGGAGCCGCGCGTCGAAGCTGAGGCGTTCTTTGAGTGCGAGCAGCTCGGCCATATCGTTTTCCCAGTTGGCCCAGTCGCCTGTTGTCGCAAGTGCCATGGCCAAAGCACTGTCGTGAAAATGCCCCCCCCTCCCCCCTTCCAGCCCAGAGCAGGGGGCTCTCCGAGAGTCCCCCCATGCGTGCCAATCAGCTCATGAAGACAAGGAGGCCCGAGAGAGGTTTGACGGTATGTTTATACGGTATGCTCGTGTTCCATCTCTAGTTCTTGAGCCCAGCATGGTAGCGGTCCCCCGCAACATTCTCCCCCTCCCCACTCCCCTCCAAGGAGTCGCAGGATGGGGGACCGGGACCGCAGAAGCCGAAGCCGCCGGCGGAGCCGTTCCCGGGACAGGTCCGGGGCGGGCGGCGGCCGTCGGCGTCGTCGGAGTCTTCGTCGCCGTCGCCGTCGTCGCCGCCGTCGTCGCCGCCGAGGTCAGCGTCGCCGCCGCGGGGGGGAGAGCGGGGCTGCTGCGGAAGGGTGGGAGGGAGGTGGCCGCGGAGGGAGGGTGGGGGGGGCTGCCGCGGGGAAGGGGGAGGAGCACCAGGGGGGAGGAGGGAGGAGCAGGGTCCGAGGAGGGAGGGGAGGGGGGGGGGAGGTCAAGCTGGGCGCGCGCGCGCCGCGTCCGACGGCCCATCCCACGCACCCCTCGCTGCGCACATCGTGTTGCTTGGCATCGCTCGGACGTGTGCATTTTTCCTTTCGGCGAGGACCATCGAGGAGCATCCTTGATCATTTGGCGAAAAAACCACGCACGAAAAAGAAGAACACAGGGAATGGACGTCCGAGCGATGGCCACGTTGCGTCCTCCTCTCTGTCTGCCGACGGGGGGGTCACTGGAAGACTTTGGGCTCCAAATGGCAGGTGCAGGGGCTGCCCCATCGTTCAGCCGGCGCGGGAGAGGCCTTCTGCGGCGGATGAGGAGGATGACCAGAGGAAGCCAGAGGTGCATGCAAAGGATGCTGCAATACACCTTCCCGTCCCAAGTCCATTCCTCATTCGGTCCGTAGCCATTTTGGCTCAAGCAATTTGCGGCTCAAGCTTTTCCAGTTCGGAGCGTGCTGTCCGCAAACGGAAAGTCGTGCCGAGACGGCAGCGTTAGCATCGATTTGCACGTATGAGGAGGCCCCGCCGGAGACGGAAGCGCACATGAGGAAATGCTGGCATTTTGAGATGAGAGGGGTCGTCGTGATAACCCCCCTCTTGTTTATTAGCTCGAGAATATTCCTATGGGTTTTCGTGATCTTTTGCTGCGTTGAGCCAGACTACATGAAGTTCCCCATGGACGAAGTCGCCTGGGGCTGGATCCCTGAGGTGTGGACATGGTTCTACATCGTCTCTCAGGGCGTCTGGGTCATTGTCTTGATCTGGAGTATGATCCAGTGCAGTAAGCTGAAGGTCGGAAAGGACGACGATGAACCGGAGTTCAGCACTGCCACTTGGTTCTCGATGTTGTTCGACGGCAGCGTCGGCACAGGCCTGTTCTACTACGCAGTTGCGGAGCCGATATGGCACTTCAAAGGCTGGGGTTCTCCGAGGTCCTCTCCACGGTCGAGGGCTACGGCAACGTGGACGAGGACGCGACGCACGCGCTGATGGTGAGCGTCTTCCACTGGGGCGTTCATGGCTGGATCCCGTACGTGGTGATGGGGGCTACGCTTGGCATCATGGCTTATCGGCGTGGATAGCCAATGACTGTCCGGTACGCGATCTATCCTCTCATTGGCGACAACGTTTATGGATGAATGGGAGACACCGTGGATGCCCTCTCCATTGTGACTTCTATCGCAGGCGTCTGCACGTCCCTCGGCCTGGGCACCATGTCGATCAACGCCGGCCTGCAGCGCCTCAGCTGGGGGACTCACCGCGGGGATAACTTTGCCATCCCGAACGAGGACAACGATTCAGGTCCTGGATGTGGTGGCCAAGGATACTCCTGTGATGATGGTCAGGAATCTTTCGGCACCCAGCGAAACACGACGACCATGATCCTCATCATATAACTGTATGCTGAGTGTTTTGATCGTTGGAATGTCGAGTGCCGCACCCACTGCGGGTCAAGCTCAAATTGTGCGGCCCCATGCAGGATCAGGGCCTCTACCTCTCCGACACTCTGCGATACGGAGCTCAGGCCCTCGGAGCCTCCGTGGTGGCGCGCGCGGCGGCGCCCAGCTGCGGGGCCTGCGCGCCGCAGTTGACCTGCCCCGCCATCCCCGCGTGCGTCTGCGCGGGCGCGGGCGGCCAGGTGCCCGAGCCCTCCTGCTTCGGGCCCGTGGGCGCCTGCTCGGTCGCGGGCCTTCTCGCGGGTGCTGCGCTCGGCACCGCCTTGGGGTTCGTTCTGGCCCGTCGCAGCGCAGTCGAGCCCGAGCCGAGCTTCGAGGAGACCGCGCGGGTGCAGGCCAGGGCGATCCGCGACAATATTGTTGACAGCAGGCAGCCATGCCGCATGCGCGTACCGTGTCGTTGGTGCGATACCGCTTTGGCGGAGCCCAGATCTGGCACGAGCGGGTCTCGCTGCTGGCAGGTGGTGCTGGCAATCACTTCGTGCTGATACCCCGACGGGGACCGCTACTTCGAGAGCGCGGCGCCTGATGCAGAGATCGCTGGGGTGATGCTTCTGCAGAGCCAGGGCGACCGCCCTGGCGGCCTTCGGGTCTACGGCTTCCGCTCTGCCGGCGGCTCAGGAGGTGCGGGACGGCATTCGCGAGGGGGCCGCAGCGCCTGGCGTCGCCGTGCCGCTTGGCCTCGCGAGCCCCCCCTGGTTGCTGGAAGCGCTGGAGGTCTCGCCCCTGGGCCCCTCGCGCTGGCCGATCCTGGAGCCCCTGCGTTGGCGGTGGCGCCTGCTGCTGGGCCCTTGGCTCTGCCCGCAGCCCCTGCGCCCGCCGCTGGCCTGCTGCCGCCCGCGGCCGCGCCTGGTGGAGTCGCCCTTCCAGGTTTGGTGGCCGCTTTGGCGGGGGCCGCTCCTGCTGCTGCCGCGGCGCCGCCCGCCGCCTTGGACCCTCCGCCTGGAGGGGTGCCTGCTTTGGCCGCGGCTGGCGCTCCTGCAGGCCCCTCGCCTCTGCCGGCTGCGGCGGGCGCCGCAGGCGTCGCCCCTGGGGCTGGCGTTGCTGCTGGTGGGGCTGCCGTCGCTGGTGGGGTCGCTGACCTGCGCGTGAACGCCGTGAGGTACGACGTGCAGGGCGACCGCTAGCGGGATTTCCGCGAGGGCATCATGCTGCGCACCTCGACGGCGTGGACCGACTAGCCCGTGCGAGGCCCTCGGACGGCGGCCCGGGTCTGCGCTCGCATCCAGCGCCACGCCTCATCTCCAGCAGCCTGGCACACTAAGTGGATGACTGAGTGGAAGATGTCAGAGGTCGATCCGATCACCAGGGAGCACAGCACGCCTTGCTCTGTAGGATCCTGGAGCTCGCGACATGCTGCGACCAGGTGAACGTCGGTGAGCTGGCGCACCTGGAGATGACGGCGAGGCGCCTCCAGCTGCTGGAGGAGAACGTGGCCGAGACGGCCTTCAAACCGAAGGGCAGCGACAAGAAGGACAAAGGACAAGTCCCATGTGGTGGGCGATCGCGTCGACAACAACCTCTTCTTGGGCGCCCGGGAGAGCCGCGGGAACGCGCGCGTGCGCCCGCTGCTGAGCACGTGGATTGCGGATAAGTCGAAGGCGGAGGCTGCGGTCGCCAAGGAGCGCGGGAAGCCCGCGAGGAGCGGGCGTTGTGCCAATGGCGATCGGCCCCTTCACCTCAGCGGCGGCCCGCTCCCCCTTGAGCCCGCAGGGGTGCGCTGAGGCCCCGAGCTGCACAGCTCCGCGATGTCATCTGCCCCTGGCGATCGGCAACGCAACCTGTTTCTTCTTCCTCGGCTTGCTGTTGACAACGGGCGGGATCTTCGTCGGTCTCGGCGGGGTCGGCCGCATTGCGATCGTGGTCTTGCCTGGCGGGCCTGGGCCAACGGGCGCCTTGACTCCCAGTGAGATGAACGGCCAGGCCCGATCTGTTCATGAGGTGGCGGCGCCAGTTGACGCGTACAACCTACCTCGGAGGCTCGCTCTTAGACACACTGCCGATAAGTACAATAGCTTCGATTGGCCTGCCGACCTTCGAGTTAGCAACGCCACCTCGGATGCCGCCCTCGCAGAGCCGCTCCGTCATGCACCTGGGCATTGCGAAGATGTTACGGGACTTCGACCTTACGCCAAGGACCGCGCGCCCCGGCCTGCCGCGGACGCGACGCCGACGCCGCTGGAATCCATCTGCAGCGAGGCCGCCCTTGACAGGCTGGGGTCATGGAGGACGAGATTGCCAGTCCCCTGGCCGCCCGCTGTCGCTTGGCGCCGAGAGCCTGGACTCGTCAAGCCTTGTGTCGACCCTCTTCTCTGGAGCTGCCCCGACCGTTGCGCCGACTTTCTTCGTCGAGTTGATGAGGCGGGCGTGCTGCGGTTCCGCGTCCGTCGAGGTCGGGGGCAGCCCGCGGTCGGGGTGTTCTTCGTGACCAAGGAGGACGGGGGCTCCAGGCTGGTGTTCGACACCCGCATTGCCAATTTGCCCTCCTCAGAACCGGCCAGCGCGAAGTTGCCGACGAGTGCTGCATGGTCTGGGGTGGAGATCGCCCCCGGCGCCATCGGCTATATGGCGTCTGCAGATATCCCGCGCGCGTTTCATCGCATGACGCATCCATCGGAGAAGCTTCAGTTCTTCACCCCCCCTGCATCGCGAATCGGGTTCTGCGCCGCGACGGGTTTGCGCTCGACGTGGATCTTGTCCCCGAGATTTCTGCGATGCCGACTGGCTGGAACTAGGCGCTCCACTTTGGTCAGGATGCTCTGGTCAACGTCGTCGCGAGGGACGCTGGCGCAAGGCCAGATCGCTTCATCGTAGATGGGCCGCCGTCCTTTGCGCTGCTGCCCCCGACGTCCCGGGCGGCGGCCGCCCGCGCGGACAATGTCTGCGTCGTCGCTGGCTCGAAAGAGCTCGCGAACTCAAAACTGCAGAGCATGTCCGCGGCCGTCTCTTCACATTGGTTGCCTGCGCGCGAGGTCCAGGAGGCCCGCGCTTCGATGTTTGTTTTTTTCCCGAACCAATACGGGTCATGGGTTCGGCGACAACGGAAGCATGAGAGCCCCTTGTTCTTGCGTCGCTCGTCTCAGATTGGGCATCCGCCCTGTGATTCGCCACGGCCAGATTTCTCCTCGCGCTATGTCCACTTTCATCGGCCACATTGCTTGGGCAATGTTGTGCAGGCGCGAGACCTCGTCGATGATTTCTGCCGCCTTTGCTTTCGCGAGATCGCGATCCGCCGAGCCCGTGGAGTTGCGGGGCGGGGTCCCCGAGGAGCTCAGCTGGGTTCAGTCGTCGCTGCCTCTGTGGGCCTCCTCGTGGCGCCCCCCGCGGGATTCCGACGTCGCCGCTTCGGATTATTCGGGCAATGGCATCGGCGTCTGCCGCCGCGGGCTGCCCGTGCACGCGGTCGCCGACGCCGGGCGCCTTGCCGAGAAGACGAGGTATAAGTTTCATGATGCATCGCTGCCCGTCAACGCGCGCTAGGAGGTGATCGTCGCGGGCTTGATGCTGGTCGTCTTGGTGCTGAAGGGCGCCCTCTTGGGCCTGGGCGAGAACCTCTCGGGAGTCACGAAGGCCTGCGGGGGATTCTCAGTGCTGAAGCTGTCGCCGACTTCGAGAGCTCCCTGTCCGTCGCGCGCGACCTTTTCCCCTACGCCGCGATCCCCAAACTGTTGCTGAAGGGCCCCCAGTGGAAGGTCGTGCGCTCGAGTCGCGTGTCAGAGACTAAGAATATCTTGGAGTCTGAGGGGGGTGTCTTGGCGTTCGCACTACGTCATCCTCTCCGCTCTGAGCCTCTTCTGGGTCACCGACTTGTTTTGTTCGTCGACAATTTGGCCATAGCTCTCAGCGTGGGCAGTGGGCGCGGGGGGGGGCCCGAGCCTCGCGCGGCCTTTGAGGAGGTTCGCGCCCTTGCAGTTGGCATCGGGCCCTTCCCTGGCTACCTGCGGCCCGCGGAGGCCTTCCGTCTCCGCGGGCGCCTGCCGGCGCCGCCCAACCCTTTTAGCCGGCGAGAAGCGCGCCGAGTGGGGTCTGGTGCTCAAACCTGGGAAGGACGGCAGGCCAGGCAAGACGGGGATCATCGACGAGAGCGTCGCGCTGGACCAGGCGGCTTGGTGGCCGCCGTGGGCGGCGCTGAAGGCGGCTCGCCCTGGCGCCTCGCCCCTGTGGGACTTCCAGTTGACAGAGGTGCGGGGCGCTTTTAAACAGCGAAGCCGAGGCCCTCGGACTAGCCGCTCAGCCGTCGCTGTACGTCCTCCGCAACAGCGCGGCCAGCAACGACCTGCTCGGGGCGCGCAGGACTTTGGCAGAGGTCAAGGATCGCGGGAGGTGGATCGCGGACTCCTCTCTCCACATATTTGCCAAGCGGACCAAGCTGCCGCATCAGATGAACATGCTGGGAGAGGCGGCGCTTTTTTTCTGACTCCAGGTGGGCCGACACCTCGTGCCTCTCTTCGAGGCGGTCGGTCGCGGCGGCGCGTTCTCCCTGCAGATCCCGCGGCAGCCCCCTTCGAGATTGCGCGGTCGGGCGAGACCCGCGTTGGCGGGCAGGTGGGCCGCTATCTGACGCGTCAACTGACAATTGCAATGCAGGCCACCTCAGTCAGATCTCGCTGTGCGTTATGGGGGCT